GTTAGAGATGTTAGTTGTAACTCTAAGTGAGACTGTAGGGCGCCTCGAAAAGCGGCATCAGCATGTCTCAATAAATTACGTATGATTGGCTCAGAGTGAGAGATGATAATCATACCTAGTTAGGGGTCTTGCACATGAAGGAGCCATATTAAATATTAATTAGTATAAGGAATACTATCGGATAGGGTAAGTTAGGGTTTTACTTGAATTGACTAGAAGATTAATTTAACAAACATATTTGTTAATAAGCTTTCAAGAAAGTATAAATGGCCTACACCTAGAGGAGTAGAGTCGATAGCCTTCAAGCTAGCTGTACGTAGTTGTATGATCTGAAGTTTTAATACTGTAATATTCAACAATAAATTTTAAGTAATAAATTAATTTTAACCGCTTCATTGTGATACTAGTGACTGGGTGACTAATAGGAGTAGGGCTAGCATCGCAATATTTAAATCTTCTGAAGAAATTCATGCATATTTCGATTCGATTTTCATCGTATCAAATGAAAGCATACTATATAGTCTAATAATTGCATCAAGATCAATGTAAGTAATGTTTAATATTTTCAATCAATCATTGTGCTCACTTTAGTTTCAACCACTGAGTAATTGTTATATGTAAATAAATGTTTGAAATTATTTCACTATATATAACATTTTGATTTGGTTTAGCTTCTATTTTAGTAATTATGCGCAACACTGAACGGCAATTACAGCTTAGATTTCTTGAAGGTAATATGATTCTTGATGTCTTTCAAGCTATACGGCGCCTCTACTACCTTAATTTTTTTAACCTTGATAAGAACATATATTTCCGTTATATTCATCATTATCATAGCACACTGACACTATTGAAAAGTTATTCAGAATAAGAATTAATTCGGAAAGTGAATTAAAATTCGTTTTCCTTATTAATCATGATTCACTAAATCAGAACGACTATTTTCATACCACAGTGTAATACAAGAGTGTATTTTATAGTTTAGTAATATCACATGTCAGCTAATATTTTATTGCTTGATTATTCGCTTTTGATTGTTACTACTTTTGCAAAATCATCGATATATTTGATTTAGAATATTATGAACGTGTAATTCCTTATTAGCTCAGAAATAAAATCACTCTTGATCATAATAATTTCATGCTGATTTTATTCTGTTTTAGAACGATATTTCTATTCCTGACATAACTAAAAAGTAACTTCATTGGTGGAAAAGTTACTTAATTAATGCCATTAATAAACTAGACTAATGCTACTCTTATTAAACTAAGAACAATATTTGGTAAATTGATAATTTTAGGGTATTCAAGAATCGGCCCCATTCGCTTTAACCATTTTATTAAGTTACTGTGACATGATCCAGCTTTGTTCTTTCGAGCAACGGGCATAAACGCCTGGATATCCTGGTTCAGCACAGCCTATATTAATTACAAGTTGTATCACATTATTTAATCTGAATTAGAATCGATACTTTATATGGTAGAGAAGTTATAAATATGAATATAACCTATTCGGTTGTTAATTAGAATATTATAGTAAGATTGATAATATCAGTAGTTATTAAAACAGTTGTGATAGGACATACCATTGCCCCAGCTAACAACACCGACAAGGGTTGGAGTTGTACCATCAAAACGGACCAATGGGCCACCACTGTCACCTTGACAAGAATCTTTGCCACCAGCACTGTAACCAGCGCATAGCATGTTATCGGTGATTCCGCCCTTATAGGCAGCATTACATTCAGTATTTGTGATAGCAGGGACATCTACTCTTTGAAGATTGTTAGGGGAGGAACCACCTGCGGAAAGAGTACCCCAACCAGAAACAGTAAGCATTTGACCAGGTTGAGCTCCTCCCATTGTAATTTTAGCAACATTTGTGTTTAATGTAAACGAGCTAGACATTGTCAAGACTGCGAAATCCATATCAATTGTTTGAGAGTTATAGTCGGAATGCTCAGATCTGTAATATAAAATGTACAGTTATGAAATCTCTGATGTCAATGTCAAAATCTATATTAAAGAAATTAAATGAAAATGTTATGCTGCAATCCAAAATAAATTTAGTCGTATTCTACTTTGACACTGATATAGGCTATAATTTAAGTACTATTTTAATTAAATTATGTATGATTGCATAAGCCACAGTGCATTAGATGAGTACTAATGTAACGTTAACTGTTGTAGATTCATAATAAAAATTCTTGGTTTGGAATAACTTCTTGAAGATAAAATCGAAACTTACTTCCTCAAAGCAGTTCGAATTTGTTCATTGTCGTCAGAATCACTGCTTTTGTCAAATTGACCAGCAGCAACGTTAATATCAGAAGCAGAGGTACCGGAAGTACAGTGAGCAGCAGTGAGAACTTTGTTAGCTCCAATGATGGAACCACCACAGAAGTGAGAAGCAGTGCTGCCGAGCCACCAAGGCTTCCTTCTCAAGGAAACGATGAATGGGAACTCATTTTGTGTAGCTTCTACTCCACCGACGATCTTGTCATCGTCAACTTCCCATTTTGGTTGTGGGCGCCAATCAGCTGGGCCTTTGCATATCAAATAAATTAATTTTTTACCTCCAATTAGGGCTGTTCCTTAAAAGTAGGTCATAAAAAATAATAATAACAGGCACGAAAATAATTGATCTTACGTGGTACTTGCTTAAAAGCAGGTGGAACTGGATTATTCCATATGAAAGGGAAAATGAATAAAAAATAAGAAAAAGTAGTATTACAAAAGATGTACAGTATCTATATTTAATGTAGCGTACCTGAAAACTAAATGAAAATATATAGATTTGACTTCATGATTATACAGTATTTCATGTCTTTTAGCTATTCTATTGTCAAGTAAATTTTACATTACCGTGCTGTTCTGGTACTGAAATAAGTGTACGGCAATTATTTAATTCCAAATTTTACTATAGAGGTCAAGGCTTTGAAAAATATTACAAGCTATAGTTTTTACTTACGCCTGAAGGCGGTAGCGCAAGCGAAAAGAGCGACAATAACCAAAATCTTCATGATATCTTTAGGAAAAAATTTTAAAATGGATTTTTGTTTGAGCTTATGCTAATATAACCAAGTTCATCTATGGTCTAGTTAGATCAAATAGTGATAATAATCGTACAGTAGCTTAAAAATATTATCGAAAGAAATTTTATAATTATTGATGTTCGCATGTATAAGCACAGATAAAAATAATTATTTCGTGGAACTGGTACACTAATAGCGTTCGTTTAAATCTTGCAATAGCTAAATGCGTACGTCATAATATACAATTACTTTTCACAGAAAACTATACATGATTTAATTACTCTACTTTTCAATCAACGATGACAACAAATTAGGTGAGGCATTCTTTAAAGTATTATTAGTTTACTATAACCCAAAAAGATTCTCTATTGACTACTGGTAATTTATATTTACGAGTAATATCCAACTATCTGTATCCCATACTAAGAAATAGAACATGTGAAGGAATAAATTTCATGCCCAGTGCTTACCGTACCGCAGGTAATAAAAATGTTATAACAACGAAAGATTCTTACCAGATATATAATTCTCTATCCTAACGAAGAAGTGATAACTCAGCTATAATGATCTCCAATTTATAG